AGACAAATTTAAACCCTAAATGGATATTTGATGACACCCAAAACTAATGTTTCTTTTAAAGGATGAACAATAGGGTTGTGGTTATGTTAACAAAAAAAGTCATGATCTTTTTTAGAAACACCAAAATATTTATAGCTGAAATGATACACTGCCTGGGATTGACTTCAAAATAATTGGAGTGGGGTGATAAATGCAGCTATTACTGACACAAGATTGATAAAGGTAACAAGAACTGAACAACTTGTAATTAGGTGTCTGTTACTTACAGGTTCATTATACTATTCCCTCCAATGTATATATGTTTAATGATTTCCATAATAAATGAAAGAGAATAATGAGGACTTTTTAAAAGGAAAGGGGAGATTTTGGATGGCACAGCCAGAGCCTCACTCATACTTGTATTCCCAGCAGCCAGTCAAATTAATAGCAATGTTTTTAGGCTGAAGCCAAGGTCAAAGCTGAGGGCTCAAGCTCGGAACTATGTTAATGCCTGGAACACCTACTTGGCTCTTTTATTTGGCCCAGAAGCTTGCACAGAGTAAGCCTTCAGGAAGTGTGTTTTTGAATGAACAAATGAAGACGCGAACATCAAAATATTACTACACATATTCCTCACGATCTGAAATATGTTCACTTAGTCACATCCAACCACCTTGAATTCAGCCAGCCTCTGCAGAAGGTGGTGCCCCAAGCCACCACTCTCTCTGTCCCCACGTCCAGTGCTGAGGGGCCAGGGGCTTCCTCTCCTGGGCTCACCCCAATTTTTAAAAAAATTTTTATTTTATTCATTGGCTGCAACAGGTCTTAGTTGAGGCATACAGGCTTCCATTGTTGTGCTGCGGGGGCTTAGCTGCTCCAAGGCACGTGGGATCTTAGTTCCCTGACCAGGGATTGAACCCATGTCCCCTGCACTGCAAGGCAGATTCTTAACCACTGGACTACCAGGAAGTCCCTCACCCCAATTTTTTTAAACCAAGGGTCTGAATTCCCAGATTTGTGCTCTCATCCCCCAAACCCCACCAGCCAGGACTCCTTTTGGTCTCGCTGATGGCCCAACTATTTCTCCCCAACATGCTGGTCTCTCTGCCTGAAATGCTCCTGCCCGGCGCACCCCACCTCATCCCCACCCCAGCTCTTGCTCAGCTGGCTCCTCATGGTTCACACTTCAGCTGGAAAATCCTTTTCTCAGCAAGGCTTTAACCAGCCCTCTTTAAAGAGAGTTCACCTCTGATTCTCCATCACTTCTCCACTGACCTTTTCACAAGCATCACCCTTAATATTCCTTTGCTTTGCCATAGCAGTAATAGCAGTTAACACACTGACTACTTACCATGTGCCAAGTGTTTTACAGCGATTATCTTTTTTTTTTTTTTCTAAACAGTTCTCTTTATTTATTTGGCCACACTGAGGCATGTGGAATCTTAGCTCCCCATCAGTGATCAAACCCATGCCCCCTGCATTGGAATGCAGAGTCTTAACCATTGGGATGCCAGGGAAGTGCCTACAAGAATTATTTTGTTTAACCTTTACAATCGCTCCATCAGTAAATATATATGTATATATAATTTTATTTATTATTATTACCCTTTTGCAATTGATGAAACTCAGGACAGAGCAGTTACACAGCCACAGAGCCATGAAGTAATAAACCCACATTTGTAACCACGCTGCTACACTGATTGCTTGTCTTTTCCTGGCCCCTTTTAGTCTCCACCCTCAGACCATAAGGGAACAAGAGAACATTATTCACAAAGTAACTCAAACCCTACTACAGTGCCTGGCATAAACAGGTGCTCCGTAAGTATATGTGGAATGGATGAAAGTATTCAAAGTAATACTGTGTTAAAAGAAAAAAAAAGTAACACTATGGGATTTCTCTTTATCTCTAACCCACCTCCTCTTCCCCACAAGTCCCTAGGCACAGGACCCAGCTTCCAGGAGGTATTAAGCACATGCAGAAATACTTAAGAGCTGGGAAGAGCTTCTGTGACCACCCAGCTCCATCCCTCAGTTCATCAAGTGGTAGGACTTTCTCCTACCTCTGAGAAGAGATAGGCAAGGTGGACAATGGAGGATACATGGACTTCAGAGGTCCGAAGAGACTGAGTTCTAGCAAAAGAGGTCAGGAGCAGATGCACTGATGAAGTGGAATGCAGGAAGGAGGGCTAGGGTGTGGTGGAGGGTCAAGAAGTACCCGCCCTACCTCGCAGAACAAACACCCATTCACCACCCAATGCCCCAAGCCTTCTGGAAACTGTCCCATTTCTAAACATATTCATTGGAAGCCTCCTCTCCTCAGGATACAGCTACGGATCTCACCAGGGACCACAGGCTTCCTTGGTCTCTCCTTCCCACCTTCCTCCCCACTCTTTCCCTTTTCCCTGGAGAAAGGAGGCAAAAGCATTCAGCAACAAAGGGCTGAAGGCCAGGCCTTCAGAAGGCCTTCTTGTAGAGGACAAGAGGAGTTTCTGGGCACTTCTTCCTGCCTTTGGTTATCTCCAGCCCCTGAAATTCCTGAGCATATCCAGCAGAGTCCCAAGAATCTCAAACTCTATGTTAAGTAATTTCTAGGAAAGCAGCACAGATACCACAAGAGCTGCAACTGGATGGAGGGGGCCAAAATTCCAGCCTAGCATGGCCACAAAGGGGTTCTAAGATGGATTGGTACAGGGTCTGAGCCTTAAAGAGTAAGAATCACTGGGCTTCACCAGGATAAGAAAGAACAGAGGAAGTGGCTAACGCAAATAATACTGAAAGGAGCTAACATTTATCTATCTCAGTGCTTGTTGCTGAGCTAAGTGTTTTACACATAACAACTTGTTGTTATCTAAGGATTTGGTGAGAAAGGCACTGTTAATGTGTCAGATGAAGGATCCAAGGCCTAGAGGTGTTGAATAACTTGGTTAAATTAGGTGATTGAGTAATTGGTGGGGCTGGGATTCAGTCAGATTTGAAAGTCCAAAGTCCATCACAAAATGTGCACCAAAAGTTGGGAGTGGCTTACATGAGGGAAAGAAATGTGTGAAAGAGTGAGGGAATCCCTGAATGTCACACTAAAGGACTGGATGGTGATCCACAAGGGGACCATGTGTGAGCAGTGCTGTAGGAAGAATGGCCTAATGTGTTTGGAGGATGATAAAAGATCTTCTGGGAACTCTGTGCCCCCAGAAACTCTACAGGGGTGGGGCAGGAGGGCAGCAGCAGGAGTGAGGAAAGCCTAAAAAAGAAACAAATTTATCAAATGCCAGCTGGTAATCTATGCTGTCCACATTCAGATTTAAGCAAACAAAGATGTTCCTCCAGTCCCAGTCAGTCCATAAAATTCCCATTAAATACCACTGTGTGCCAAGCCCTGCCCTGTGCAGCCTCTCTGTTTCTCCTCTGTTTGCCACAGTGAGGACAATGAGACTGCTGGCAAGTTCCTACAACCCAGCACAACCACTCTCATCAGGGAGGTGAAAGACATTTTGCACATTTACGTTAAAACCATAATGCCCACAATTGTATCTGAATTGTAAGTTTTTAAAATTTTAAAGGATTTATTTTCACATCACTGGCCTAGTTTGCAAGGTCCATAGTAACTGTTTTTTTTTTAATTGAGCTCACTTTTAACCTCAGTAAATTTATGAGAAAATTTTTTCCTGAAGGTGAATCATCTGGCCATCTTCCCGCTCCAGCTACCAACCAGAAGGCTAGCAGTACCTCTGTTCAAGGCGTATCACCTGGAGGTCAGGGATGGGAACTCACTGCCCAGCCACTGTGCCCTTCACTACCACCTGGGGGCAGGGGTGGGAAGTGAGAGGAAGAAGAGAAGGCTGGACTCAGGGAAGTCGCTACTTCAGTAAATCTGATGCTGTGCCTCAGGGAGTCAGTCCCACTTTGGAGCTGTGAATCCTGGGAAGGGAAACTCCGCTTCTCACCACTCCTATGCTAAGCAACCCTATCTCAATGCATCCTCATGGAGGGGGTGGGAATTATTGTCAGATACACGTGTATGAACTTCCAGACTTTCAGGGCTCTCCCAAACACTGCCTTCAGGAGACTGCTCAGCCAGTGGATCGGCGACGGAAGGAAACTCTAGCTAAGCTGGCCCAGCAATTCTCCCGAAAGGCTCACTCCGCAGGAAAACACAATGATCCCAAAGGCCTTGGTGTACGTGTTGGGAGGGAAAGCAGGGGACTTTTTTCCGTTTAGCTTCCATAAGCGCTGCCAGGAGACAGCTCTCTCGCTACGTCAGGGGAAAGAGACTTGTATGAGCACATCTCGCAGCAACTAACCACTCCCATGAGGCCCTCTCTTCCAAACTACACGTCGGGCAAAACGGGGGAAGAAGTGGCCCCAGCAGAGGCGAACCACTGCGGTTCTTAATTAAAGCTTCGTTTGCGTTTGGGCCTTCACTGAGCCGCAGCTTGAGGTACATTCCCTTCCGGCGCACCCATCAGCCCCCGGATTCCCAGCAGGCCTTTCAGGCCCAGATCCGGCTCCCCGACCTCTAAGGCCCTTCAAGCACCCCCAGATTCCCCTCCCAGACCTCAGAACCTTCAGGCCCGGCTCGATCTCCTTGCCTGCCTTTCGAGGCCCATCAGCCCGGCCCCCGCGGCTCACCCTCGAGCGTCTCGCACTGCACCAGGTTGAGGTAGTCCGCCTGGCTGAGCACCCCAGCCTTCAGGCCGCGCACCAGTCCCTCCAAGTAGCCATTGTCCACGTTGAAGTAAAGCTCCGGGAAGAACGACATGGCTGCAGCGGGGCGGCTGGACCGGAGGGCCCGGACCGGCCGGCACGCAGCACAACTCTTAAGATCAGCTGACGCGGCGGCCGCAGCGGGCTGTCAAGTGCGTCAGGTGACGCGCAAGCGGCTCACGTGACAAAGACGGGGCGGGGCTCCACTTCCGGATGGTTTCGGCGCAGAACGCTTGCGCAGGTGTAGGCTGGGGCGGGGGTGGGGGGCGGTTGGCGCTGCCCTCTGACGCCTGCGCGCTGAGGGGAGGCGGGGGCGGCCTTCCTGCTCCCTAGAGAGAGCGGGTTGGAATGTTCCAGGCCAGCCGCTTGGTGGCGCCCGTGAAGCGGGGATTTGATTGGGCCTTCACTCCAGATCTCCTGAGTCTGGTACACCTTGGTGCTGTGGCGGCCCCAGAAGTAAAGATAGGAATGGGCGGCCCTTCTTATGCTTGGAAATATTCCAAACTGTTGAGCCATCCTTCCCCTGAGAGGGACTGAGGTCGGGTGAGGGCCAGGCTTCGCTAGGGGTCACGCGTCGAGTTAGCCGCGAGCAGGCCCTGGAGCCTGAGGCTTGTTAGCATGCTGGGAGGTACAACCCCTCTGCCTCCCTGTGTCCCCTTCCGCGCATTTATCATCAAAGATTCTCAAGAGCAGGAGCGCGGCCCTCCTCTGTTTCTCCCAGCGGCGCCTGGCGCTCTAAGAGCTCGCATGTAAGTGACTCGTGATGGGATAACGCAGGCCCTGGAGTAAGGGGGGGAGGGGGGGTGTGTGTGGTGTCGTGGCTTAGAGGAACCTCCACCCCTGCCGTGACCTCCCCCACCTCCGACGACGGTCACGTTCGAAATAACGCCACAACCCTGGGATTGGTCCCATCCTTTTATTGGTGCCCCCCAGCCCTGACCCGGACGTCGACCAGCTAGGTGCGGCTGCAGGGGTTCGTGGTGGTACCCAACTTGCGGCAGTAGCAGAAGGCGTTGAAGAAACGGCAGTAGCAAGTGGCGCACGGGTCGCAGCAGGGTACCTGGTGTCCCAGACAGGATTCGTGCAGCCTTACGCAGCGACGTGGGGAGCGTGGCTTGCGTCCTTCCGGATCTAGCACCTGCAGGGTTTGGGGAACATGGGCCTCCAAAGGCAGGTTCAGGGACCTGCCCTGATCAAGTTAGGAGAGGAGTGGAGCTTGGGGAGGGATGGTCTGCCGTGTTGCCTCAGGTGAGAGGGTCAAGCAGAGATAGAGGTTGACGCCCCCCATTTAAAGACTGTGGCCACATCCCTTGCCCTGAGCAGTTACCTCTGCTAAGGCCTTGGCCTCTGCTTCCTGCAGCAGCGCCTCTTCGTCCTGTTCCTCCGTTGTCCTCTTCAGCAATGGCTGCAGGCTTATGCCTGAGACAGGTAATGTGAGGGCAGAAACCCCCCATGCACAAGACACCTGCCTCCCAGGTCTGGGATTGGGGAAGGGGAAAGAGACTAATACAAGGCAGAACAATTTGTGACCAGAGGGTGTCCAGGCCCCACCCAGCCCCATCACTGCCCACACTCACCTTGGAGCTCTAGGAATAAGGCTTCGTCAGGCCTTCCAATGCCCTCCAAGGGAGCAGAGCCCATTTGGGCCCCCTGCATGGTGGGCATTGCCAGCAACAGGGCACAACTCAGCAGTACTGCGGTCAGCATGGCCTGGCTGAGTGGGAAAACCCACCACTTAGCCCCTCTTCATCCCTGGAGCACCCTCTAGATGCCCTATCCCAGACCCCTAGAGAGTAGGAGTCTCAGCCCAACCTGAGGACTTACCTCTGCTTGCTGGATCCTCGTCCCAGGAGTTGCTGACCATTCCGTGTCCCCGGCTTATATGGCAGGATCTAATGAAGGGCCCACACGTGACTGCTTCCTGCAGCCAGGGTATGAGGGGCCCTCCCCAGAAGGTGGGAGCACAATTCAGGCCTCTCTCACTGGAACCAGGGCTCTACAAGAGGGGTGCTCATCTCCAATTTGGAGTGAGGGTTCCAGGAGCCCATCAAAATTTGGGAACAAGATAGGGTGCCCAGGGCCCCCAAATTTCTGCAGGAAAGGGACCTGGGGGATGGGCAGGCTGGAGTCATTAGCAGTAACCAGGCAGGCAGCCCTGAACGCTTAATTTAATTTGTGGCCCTGGAGATGGTCATTCAGACCCTACGCATGGCATGTTTCCTTTGCTTCCAGGAACTTGGGTCAAGGGCACTGAAAGGTGGGTGATGGGCCAGTAGCCAAAGCCGGGTGGGGTTGGGGTGCAGACCCAGACTCTAGGTTTTGGAGAGGAGTAAGGAGGGCAAAAGACCACTCAGCCAAAAGCAGGCCCTCTACCTCCCTCTCTGGATCTATCTCTGCTCCCCCTTCCTCCAGGCTTCTCCAAGATCCCACCCCTGCTCCTACCCCCACACCATTTTCTGCCTGCGGTTCCTGGAAACCAAGGTGACCGAACGGACTGTTCCCTTCCCAGGTGGGCGAGCAGCTTCAAAGTAAAAAGCTTTCAGACCGCCTGCTTCATTAGTGCTAATGGCTGCTCCTTTCCGCCCTGTGTTGTCAGACTTTTGCCCACGCCTGGTTGCATCAGCACGAGGGAAGTGTGAGGACTGCTCTTTCATAGAGATGGTGGGATGCACAGGACTTCCTGCCCCAGCCTCCCCTCACCACCACCTCCCGAAAGGGCACTTTATCACACGCTTGCCAATTGGGGAAAGGGATGTAGGCTGAATCAGCTTTCAGGATTCAGTGTACAACGTGAACTGACTGAAGACAGCAGGAGGATGAAGAGGCTGTTGGGACTTGCAGCCCAGGTTCACACGGGCTATTCTGACCAGGCGAGGCCTGAGGAAGTCCTTGAAAGTGGTTGGAAACCATAGGTTATCATCTGGAGCTCAGTGGCTGTCTTCACTTGGGTATGTGGACACAGGGTGTTGGTCTCAGGGACTGCCCAGGTCCCTGGTTAGGTCCAATGGGGAAGACAATCAAGAAAAACAACCACCAAAACATAGTGGAGGGACTTCCCTGGTGGTCCAGTGGTTAAGACTCCATGCTCCCAGTGCAGTGGTCTTGGGTTTGATCCTTGGTCAGGGAACTAAGATACCACATGCCACACAGCATGAAAGTGAAAGTGAGGTGGCTCAGTCGTGTCCGACTCTTTCTCAGTCGTGTCCGACTCTTTCTCAGTCGTGTCCGACTCTGCTTCCCCGTGGGCTGTAGCCTACCAGGTTCCTCCGTCCAGGGGATTTTCCAGGCAAGAATACTGGAGTGGGTTGCCATTTCCTTCTCCATGGGGTCTTCCCAACCCAGGGATTGAACCCAGGTCTCCCGCATTCCGGGCAGACGGTTTACCCTCTGAGCCCCCAGGGAAGCCATGCCACACAGCATGGTGCCCCCCCCCAAAAAATACAAAAACAGAATGACCAGAGAAATATAAACATTGGATATTTAAAGATATTAAAGAATAATTGTTAACTTTTTTACTTGTGATGATGGTAGTGTACTCATTTTTTAAAGCATTGTTCTCTTTTAAAGAAAAATAATGTATTTAATGATAAAATGATATGAAATATGAGGTTTGCTTCAAAATAATCTGAGGTGGGGGAATAGCAGGAGGTGATATAGATGAAACAAAATTGTTAGTGGAGTTGGTAATTGTTGAAGGTGGGTGATGAGTACATGGGCCTCATTATCCTGATACTACTACTTTTGTATATATTTGAAATTTTCCATAATAAACATTTATTGATGCCCTTTCCCACCCCATCCTCCTCCTGCCCTCAGTTTTACCCAGCCACGTTCCTAACACTGAATTGGCCCAAAGCATGATCTGTGGGTTTCTTGTTACAGCTCTATATCTCTATTTATGTCTATGTGTATCTATGACTTGTGCATCAGTATTTAAAGTTAATATTCCATTGGCTTATCAAATTTTATAAGTTTTACAAGTAATCAGCCTTTGACTTGATCTTTCAAATTTTGTTACAGTTAAGTTCCTGCCTTTCTATCATTTTCTATTTTCATAGTATTTGTTAATCCTTACATTTGTCTTCCTTCCTGACGAACAGCGTTGCCTACACCTAGTAGTCTACAAAGGCTCCTTGGGAGCCCTTTCCATCTGCTGAATACAAACACTGCATGAGTGATTTTTCGGGTCTGGAACTGGCCTGATGTTCCCAAGACAAGGCTTTTTGGCAGAAGGAGCTTCAGAAATGTGTGACATGTCCCGGATGGAGGATTTGGGAGACCTGGGGAGATACAGAGACTACTTCGTGAGGCTGGGGACAGACCCCAGACATCGGGACCCTGGCTTCAAGGAGGAGGAAGGAGAGAATGTGAATGCTCTGTGCCAGATATCAAGTGTGGGGACAAAGAGGGTTGGTTGAACCCTGCATGTCGCCTCTTTTTCCTCCAGCAATTTAGTCCTCACCCCAGGGGTGCTGTTCCTGCAATATCCTGCAGGGAGCAGCAGAGCACCCACTGGCGCTCCCAATCTAGCTTTATCCTGATACCTAGATCCCCACTGGAACACTTCCCCCACCCCCCCAACCCCATGGCTCATCTGTAGGGCTTCCCTCCCTCTCTGTCTGTCTGTCTCTCTCTCTCTCTCTGTGTATATATATATGTATGTATGTGTATATATATATGTAATTTTTTGACTGAAGTATAGTTGATATAATGTGTTAGTTTCTGGAGTACAGCAAAGTGGGTCAGTTATACATACATGTCTCCTTTTTCATATTCTTTTCCATTATGGTTCATTACAGGATATTGACTGTAATTCCTTATGCTATACAATAGGACCTTGTTGTTTATATATTCTATATATAATAGTTTGTACTTACTAGTCCCAAACTCACAATCTAACCCCTCCTGCCCCCCACTCACCAACCACAAGTCTGTTCCCTATGTCTGAGAGTCTGCTCCTATTTTGTAGATGAGTTCATTTGTGTCATATTTTAGATTCCACATTTAAGTGATGTTCATATGGTATTGGTTTTTTCTCTTTCTGATTACTTCATTTAGTGTGATAATCTCTAGGTCTATCCATGTAGCTGCAAATGGCATTATTTTGTTCTGTTTAACGACTGAGTAATATTCCATTGTGTATATATACTACATCTTTATCTCATTTTTCAGTGGACATTTAGCTTGTTTCCATGTTTTAGTTATTAGGAGTAGTACTGCTATTGATGTAGGGGTGCATGTATCTTTTTTAATTATAGTTTTGTCTGGATATATGCCCAGGAATGGGATTGCTGGATTATACAGCAACTGTATTTTTAGTTTTTTGAGGAACTTCCATACTGTTACCCATAATGGTTGTGTCAATTTACATTCCCACCAACAATGTAGGAAGATTCCCTTTTCTTCACCACCCTCTCCAGCATTTGCTATTTGTAGGCTTTTAAGATGACCATTCTGATCAATGTGAGGTGGTACCTCACTATAATTTTGATTTGCATTTCTCTTATAATAAGCAACGTTGAGCATCTTTTCATGTGTGTATTGGCCATCTGTATGTCTTTGAAGAGATGTATATTTAGATATTACAGGCTGGTGTCTCTTGAGCCCTCACCCGAGGGGCGTCCCACTGTGATCAGGAGCCCCTAGGTGGGAGAGTCGTGTTTGTTGCATGAAAACCAGTGCTTGCCATTCTCCCATTCATTCGGGAACTGTTTGAGCACATGCTTCAAGACCAGCACTGTGCCAAGGCGTCTAGACTTAAAGGCTAGGTCAGACACCGTGATGACCTGAAGCTCCTGATTCTGGGGTCAACCAAACTTCATGGGTTTGCCTATTGCCATGAAAGTGTAGGCTGAGGTCAAGCCAGGGAGAGTGGGGCATGGTGCAGAGCCAGCTTTTGGATGGAACACCCTTTCCCCTGACTGTAAGAGGGCTCAGGCCTAGAGACACTCATTCCCCCTCAGACCTTGCTCTAACTCCCTCTTCCTCTCCCCACACAGGCCTCCCCTTCCATGCAGATGGTGGGGCCTTAATTGGAGGCCTGCAGAACAGCTGAGCTGTGGATGGAGTGCTCAGATGAAACTTCTGAAAAGGTCCAAGGAAGACAGATAGGACCAGCCAATATGACTCATAGCATGTGACTTGCAATTTGGACACATGGACCCCTCCAAGGTGGCAAAGGGCATTCTCAACTCCAGCTTCAGCCCCTTCTGAAGACATCTGCAAATCCCAGTATCCAAATCTCCAGACACCCAGAGAGGTAGCCAGTCCCTCCTCCTCCCTGCCAGGTCCTACTTTTCTGAGTACAATCTTCAGTCTTTGGAGATGTTGCAGGACCCTACCTTCTGCCTCAGTAGAAGGTTATCCCTGCCCTCAGTATATCCAAAGCAGTATACCAACCACCACACTCCCAAGAAATCCACCAAAGTGGTGGAGAGCTTGTTCCATTCCAAGTGATAAGAGGACCCCTGAGTACAGCAGAGTTTCTGGGGAGTGAAACTGAGTCCCTAGCAACCCTCCACAGAGGCATGGCACTATTAAACTAGGGAGGGGGCGCTTGGGATGTCTCCTGAATTGTTTCTGTTTCACACCCATAGAATGGAGCAACCTGACTCTGTAAGGATGTTTAGTGGCTCAGCTGCAGCCCTGGGAGCAAAGGTGATTGCGAAGCAGGAACCACTGGACTGTCTGGAAATGATTCTCAACCTAGCAACTACTCTTTGTGCTAAAGACCCAGGGATCTGCCTACCTGCTCACCTCTGCCACTCATTTCCTTGCAGGTAAGAACAGAGGCTACAGGAAATCTGGACATAGGCAAAAAATGCAGCCTAGGGTAATGGGCACAGAGGTATGATGGTACCTGGCTTGACAGGTTCAAAGTGAGCCCAAGATCAGCTCAAGAAAGCAGAGAGACCTGCAGCTGCTCCCAGAGTTCTCTGGACTCACTCCTTTCTGCAATACCCCTCCTCATCCCCTCTGCCTCCAGCTACAAAGAAGGTCTAGGAGGTGTAGGTATGGGAGCTGGGAGGGGATTGAGTCCTATTGGGGAGCAGTCATCTGGGGGTGTTGGATGGGAAGGATAACCTTCCAGCTGAAACCAGACCCCTGGGGCACATCTCACCCAGGCAGCAAGCCCTTGCCTGGTATGGGGGGAAGAGCTCATAGGGTGGCCCCCACCAGCAGCCCCACTGGTCACCACTTCCCAATTTTGTCTCTGTAGGCCCTGCATTAACTGTATCCACAAAGCCCTGGGTAGGGGTCCTCCTCCCAGCTCTGGCCAAAGGCAGGCATTGTGTCAGGACCTGTCATAGAGGCAAATTTTCCTCCTGGCCTCATCCGTTTACCTGCTAAGGTTTACCTAATGTCCTGTAGCAAGACTCCCGTTGCGTGTACTGTCAGTGGGACATGGAACTGCCCAGGCGGCACTAGTGGTAAAGAACCTGTCTGCCAATGCAGGAGACAGAGGAGACACAGATTTGATCCCTGGGCTGGGAAGATCCCCTGGAGAAGGGCATGGCAACCCACTCCAGTATTCTTGCCTGGAGAATCCCATGGACAGAGGAACCTGGCAGGCTACAGTCCTTGAGGTCACAAAGAATGGGACACGACTGAAGTGACTTAGCATGCACGACGAACATGGAACTAAACATTAGCATCCCCGTTCTACAGATCAGAAAGCTTTAAGTGACTTAGCTTTGATTACTCAGCTAAAGAAGGGCTGGCCTGCTTTCCCTTCTTTCTCTCATGGCCCAGGGTATGTTTTAGAGCTGGAGAAAAGGCATAGTTATTCTGTGTGTGCACTCATGCCAGGCCAGGTTCAACCCTAAGGTGTCTCCCCACACACACCGCCTGCTTGTGGGAACTTTCACTCACCTATAGTGCTGCCAGGAGTGCAAAGACGAACGCAAGCCAGCCTCTCCAGTGGGCTAGGTTGGCTGCCATAGCTGTGCTGAGTGTCCTTTACTCTCGATCACATTTCTAAGTAACTCAGGAATCAAAGGAGAAATCACAAAAGAAACTAGAAGTGTTTCAAATTGAATGATAATTTAAAACAGTGTATCAAAACTTATGGGAATGGACTCCCCTGGCAATTCAGTGGCTAAGACTCCCTGCTCCCAAAGCAGGGGACCTGGGTTCAATCCCTGGTCAAAGAACTAGATCCCACATGCCGAAAATAAAGATGAAAGATCCTGCGTGCCACAACTAAGACCTGGCACAGCCAAATAAAAAATATTTTTTAAAAATTTTCTAAACTTATGGGAAGCATCTAAAGCAATGCATATTTAAGTAGATTTACTAGAAAAGAAGACTGGTTGAAAATTAATTACATAAGCTTCTTTAAGTGGGGGAAAGATATTTTCAATAAACAGTGTGGGAGCAAGTAACTGTTTACCTGTACCTTTACCTGCCTTCACAAAAATTAATTTGAGATAGACCATCAACATAATTGTGAAGGAAACTGGAACCCATTATACAGAGTGAAGTAAGCCAGAAAGATAAAGACCATTACAGTATACTAACACATATATATGGAATTTAGAAAGATGGTAACAATAACCCTATATGCAAAAAAAGAAAAAGAGACTCAGATGTATAGAACAGACTTGTGGACTCTGTGGGAGAAGGCGAGGGTGGGATGTTTCAAGAGAACAGCATCGAAACATGTATATCTAGGGTGAAACAGATCACCAGCCCAGGTTGGATGCATGAGACAAGTGCTCAGGCCTGGTGCACTGGGAAGACCCAGAGGGATGGGGTGGAGAGGGAGGTGGGAGGGGGGACCGGGATGGGGAATACATGTAAATCCATGGCTAATTCATTTCAATGTATGACAAAAACCACTGCAATGTTGTAAAGTAATTAGCCTCCAACTAATAAAAATAAATGGAAAAAAAATAATTGTGAAGGTAAAACAAATAAAGATTCTAGAAAAAACATAAAATATCTTCATAACCTTGGAGTAGGCAGAGATTTCTTAAACAGGACAGAGTACTAACCATCAAAAACTAATAAATTAGACTTCATAAAAACTAAGAACTTCTGGTCATTAATTAAAGATAATTAAGAAAGTAAAATGATAAAACACAAACTGGGAAAAGAACATTACAATGAATGCATAGACTCAAAATATGACTCAAAGAATTCCATAGTCATTAAAGAAAAAGGACTTGAACCGACCCTTCACAATAGAGGATTTCCAAATGGCCAACAAGCATATGGAAAGGTGCTCAACATCACTAGAGAAATGTAATTCATAGAGAAATCTGAATTAAAACCACAATGAATTAAACCACAATGCTATATACTGACTAGATTGGCTAAAATTTAAAAGATCGACAGTACCAAGCATTGGTAAAGATATGAAATAACTAGAACTGGTAAGAGGTAAATAAGAAAACTGTCACACAGCACAGGAAATGTAGCCAATATTTTATAATAACTTTAAATGGAGTCTAATCTATAAAAATATTGAATCACTACATTGTACACCTGAAACGAATACAACATTGTAAATCAACTATACTTTAATTTTTAAAAATCTACTAAAAGCTACTCCCTACCTGTGGGAATATAAACTTCCTGAGACAAGTACTGATTTCTTGACAAATATGTTATTACTTACAAGTTGAGTTTTCTGACCATGGAGGTAGCTACTGGGAAGGCTTAGTGGGCCATGCATGGGTACTAATTCTCCTAGCCAATATTGCTTGTCTATGTTAAATACTACTATGTACATGTATATGTTTACAGGATACCATTAGAATTCACTGTATGTACAACCTTTCCGTTAATGCAGTTTGGTTAGTGGTGATCTTAATAACTTAATTCAAAAGGAATCAGCATAATTACTATTTTTTGTGTATGTGTATGCACTTAGTGGTGTCCAACTCTTTGCGACCCCATGGACTATAGCTCACCAGGCTGCTCTGTCCTTGGAACTTTCCAGGCAAGAATACTGGAGTGGGTTGCCATGCCCTCCTCCAGGGGATCTTCCCTAACCAGGGGTTGAACCTGCCTCTCTCATGTCTCCTGCATTGGCAGGCAGATTCTTTACCACTGAACCACCTGGGAAGCCCCAGTATCACTGTTGGGCAACCATAACTCCCAACATCAAACTTTCTCAACTGTTCTATTTAAAAATCTCAGAGGGAGAGGATACTGAATATGCTTTTATTTAATCAGGATTGATGAAATTATACCTTTTAATTAAGCTAAATTGGTAGTTTAAAATTCTATATTAAATTTGTTAACCATAAACTATATTGTGAAATAGAGTCAATATTTTGTTTCATATTTAATGGCATTTGTTTGACATAATAGGATTTAATATTTGTAAGGTCTCATGTGAATTACTTTTCTGCCTGCACCCTTTAGAAAAAAGTGTGAAAGCCACAATATCAGTAATCTCCTCTCTGTAAGGTTCAGTTCAGTTCAGTCTCTCAGTTGTGTCTGACTCTTTGTGACCCCATGGACTGGAGCAAGCCAGGCATCCCTGTCCATCACCAACTCCCGAAGCCTACTCAAACTCGTGTCCATCGAGTTGGTTATGCCATCCAATCATCTCATCCTCTGTCATTCCCTTCTCCTCCTGCCTTCAATTTTGCCCAGCATCAGGATCTTTTCCAAGGAGTCAGTTCTTCACATCAGGTGACCAAAGTATTGGAGCTCCAGCTTCTGCATCAGTCCTTCCAATGAATATTCAGGACTGATTTCCTTTAGAGTGGACTGGTTGGATCTCCTTGCAGTCCAAGGGACTCTCAAGAGTCTCCTCCAACACCACAGTTCAAAAGCATCAGTTCTTTGATGCTCACCTTTCTTTATAGTCCAGCTCTCACATCCATCCATGACCACTGGAAAAACCATAGCTTGACTAGATGGACCTTTGTTGGCAAAGTAATATCTCTGCTTTTAAATATGCTATCTAGGTTGGTCATAGCTTTTCTTCCAAGGAGCAAGTGTCTTTTAATTTCATGGCTGCAGTCACCATCTGCAGTGATTTTGGAGCCCCAAAAAATTGTCTCTCACTTTATTTTTTGGGGCTCCAAAATCACTGCAGATGGTGATTGCAGCCATGAAATTAAAAGACGCTTACTCCTTGGAAGGAAAGTTATGACCAACCTAGATAGCATATTAAAAAGCAGAGGCATTACTTTGCCAACAAAGGTCTGTCTAGTCAAGGCTATGGTTTTTCCAGTGGTCATGTATGGATGTGAGAGTTGGNAGCAAGGTGACACAGCGTTTCCCGATTTGGAACCAGTCTGTTCCATGTCCAGTTCCAAACTGGAACCATGTCCAGTTGCTTCTTGACCTGCATACAGATTTCTCAGGAGGCAGGTCAGGTGGTCTGGTATTCCCATCTCTTGAAGAATTTTCCAGTTTGTTGTGATCCACACAGTCAAAGGCTTTGGTATAGTCAATAAAGCAGAAATAGATGTTTTTCTGGAATTCTCTTGGTTTCTCGAGATCCAACAGATGTTGGCAATTTGATCTCTGATTCCTCTGCCTTTTCTAAATCCAGCTTGAACATCTGGAAGTTCACGGTTCACATACTGTTGAAGCCTGGCTTGTAGAATTTTGAGCATTACTTTGCTAGCATGTGAGATGAGTGCAATTGTGCAGTAGTTTGAACATCCTTTGTTATTGCCTTTCTTTGGGATTGGAATGAAAACTGACCTTTTCCAGTCCTGTGGCCACTGCTGAGTTTTCCAAATTTGCTGGCATATTGAGTGCAGCACTTTAACAGCATCACCTTTTAGAATTTGAAATAGCTCAACTGGAATTCCATCACTTCCACTAGCTTTGTTTGTAGTGATGCTTCCTAAGGCTCACTTGACTTCGCGTTCCAGGATGTGGCTCTAGGTGAGTGATACACCATCGTGGTTATCTGGGTCATGAAGAACCATTTTGTACAGTTCTTCTATGTATTCTTGCCACCTCTTCTTAATATATTCTGCCTCTGTTCGGTCCGTACCATTTCTGTCCTTACCTCCGTAAGGTTATCTTCACTTAATGCTGGGCAGAGAACATGAAAAAAGAAAACTGGTGTGTTTACTTTTTTGTGGTGTTTACTACAGCTGACCTTCTACCTAGCAGGTTTACTGTTTGATACAAGCCCGAGAGAGATGAGTGTAATGTTTACTAGAAGACATGTATATACAGTGTTCCTAGCAACTTTATTCACAATAGATTAAAAACAAAGAACAATCCAAATATCCATCAACAGGAAAATGGGTAAATAATGGTGTATTCATACATCTGAAAACTACACAGCAATAAAAGTGAATGAACTGCTGTACACAACACGGATGAATCTCACATACATAAGGTTGAATGAAAGATGTCAGCCACAGAATAGTGAATATGGTATGATTCTACTTATAGTCATTCAAAACCATAAACTATAATAAATGGTGATACAGCTCCATAGTGATTAACTTGGGGCATTATGGACTGAGCAAGGGAAACTAGGAAGACTTCTGC